TACAGCACGCCCGAACATCCAATGTACTCGTAGGCCTGGAGCTCCCTTGAAAGGTTCGGCGCCTCCGACCCGGAGTATTCGCCAGAGTGCAAGGAGCTGCACGGCTGCTTGGGGCTGTGGTTTTGCAGCGCTGTTTGATTTGGCCTGCTTTCAACACCAAACCCGCCATTTGTTCTGGGAGTTTGCGTTTGAGTTTGAGCAGGGGCTTCGTATGCAGCGGTCTCCCGATGACTCTAGAGATTTGTCTCTGGTGCCTCTCTCTGAGTGTCGTATTAAGGCTGTTTATGGCTTCAAATGTTAGTCGATCTTAAGGCTCAGACCCTTGATCTTGTTGGCAAAGCTTGGCGGACCCAGACTGCCCGCATTTCAGAAGCCAAACTGCACTGGGCTTATGCGCGAGGTCCTTTGAGTGCGTGCTTGTGTGTGGGTGTTGAAAGATCTAGGTTGGTCTTGTGATGAGCTTGTTGTGTGGTATGATCCGGCTGGTTAGCGTTGGGAGGTGGATCGAACGAACTCAAGCTGCTTGAGCATATCGCTTCTCAGCAAGAGCAAGCATTGTGGCGAAAAGCCTGCCGTCATCAAGGCGGTGTTGGAATGAAAGATGGCGTTGATTTCACTGTTGCTCACCGTCACCTTGAATATTTGTTACAAGCTCAGAAGCTTCAGGAGCATTACACCCTCATGCATGTGTTGCAAGGTTCTCTCCCTACTGCTGAAAATGGCTTGGAGCTTGTCTGCTCTGGTTGTGGCATTGAGCGTCCCACTTTATGTCATGAATTGTGGCGATGTCCTGCTGTTATTCAGGCCACTGGCCCTGCACCCCCTGCTTGGGAACCGCATGTCGAAGATAGCGCACAGCAGTGCGAATGGCAGAGGGGTATTTTGCCTCTGGGTGCTGCCCAAATCCCCACACGCCATTTTGTCAGTGAGGACGACACAGGGTTTGGTCCTGCAAGGAACGGGCATGTGGCGAGACATATGTCGTTTGGACGCGACCGGTCTTGTTTTTGGCACTGATGGTTCGGGAGGCCCCTTTTCGTCGTACAAGTTGCATCGTCTTTGCAGTTGGGCAGTTGTTGCGCTTGAGGCTTGTCCTCTGCATAATGTGGTGGCTACCCTTCGGGGGCCCCTGCCAGGGACGAAGCAAACTGTTCCCCTGGCTGAGGCTTATGCAATGAAAGTCCTTCTGGCTTTCACTGACGACCCCCTGACAATGTGTGCGAGTTCACTTGGTTGTGTCAAATGCCTCAGAGGGATTCGAGCCCAGATGGCTGTAAAAATTGAGAAGTGGAGTAACCCTACTGTGTGGTTGCACATAAAGCAGCTGGCGGGCTCTAGGGAAGTGCACGTTGATTGGTTGCCGTCGCATCAGTGAGCGTACGAGTGATCAACAAGACTGGCAGTTCAAGGCCAATCAGCTTGTTGATCAACTCGCTGGAGACGTTGCCCAGTCGCGCGCTAGAGTTGCCTTGCTTGCCGTGCATATTCAGATTCTTGATGTTGTCCATGATCGCTGTTGGCGAATCCAAAGTGCCCTGATACAGCGTTACGCCTTTTGGCACGGTACCATGCAGGGTAAGCCCCTTCTGCGGATGCAGGGCCCCAAAGAAGCGACCAAGGCTGAGATTGTGCAGTATGCTCCTCAAACTTCGAATACACATTCCTTTCAGCTCTGCACACGGGGATCGTCTGTCAGCTGTAGGTGTCTGCGCTGCGGTCTCTTATTGCAGGCTAGCTGGCGTCGTCCTAGATTGCTGCAGGTCATGCGCTTGCCTTGCTGCTTAGGGTGGAGGTTTCTGGATTTAGGTGTTCATGCTTCGCATGAGCCGTTTGTGTTGACGGTACTTCCATTCGTTGTAGGCAGTGCAAAGCGCGGCCAACATGTCCACAGCTTTATCAGTCTGAACAAGTTCCAGAAATGGTGTAGAGGACGTAGGTAGGGTTGGAGTTTTCTTGGCACCGCCATGTCTGTTGTTGGACAAAAAGGCTGTTTTGACGACTGGCGCTTTGCTGAGTGGCCTCTCATTCTGTCGTGCACTGCAAGTTGCACATGCTTTCAGGGGCATCGGAGCATCCAAATCCAGAAGTACGGCAGGACGAGTCGATTCCCGGGACGCGCACGTTTTCACTGGCCAAGATGAACGCCGAGGCCCAAAATCTGGACGACGAGAATCCGTGCAAGCGGCCTCCCCTGCAACTACGGTGTGTCAATCGAATATGGGAGTTTCCGAGAATGAGGGGTACCTTGTTTTGGGGTCCTTATAATAAGGATCCTGCATGATCCTGCCATTTGGGGATTATGTTAGGGTCCCCTATTGTCGGAAACTCCCATATCGAGTTGCACACGGCATCTGTTCGCGTGGTGACTAGGTATGTTTATGGCGTGCCTCCGACCAACTCCGACGGGGACAATGCGGACGGCATGACCAGTTGGATGGATGATCTGTGCCTGGATGAGGTTTGGCTTTTCCGTGTTTTGGAGGAGAGGTGTAGGAGCCGCGCGAGGGCGGCTCAATTTAGAGGCTTCTGCTGCACGTTGCGCTTGAGGTCCTGGCTTCCAAATTGCAAGCAATGCAGAATCCGCTGCAGATAGAGACATATTCAATCGAAGAAGAGCGGGCAGAAAGACTGAAGACTGAAACAGTTCATGGCCGTGAAACGTCCTGGTGCAGTCGCTCGAGTAGTTAAATAGGTTCGAGATTGGGGTTGATGGACCTGTACCTTCCAGAGTCATGAATGAGACTAGGTGACGAGTTGGTTAATGCGAATGCTCTGCTGTTTCGGACCCTAAACCCTAATCCCTGGGGTGTACCATTTCAGACTTCACGAGGGCCGGGAACGTCGGACCTGGTCAAGGAGGCGTGACCTACAAGTCGGTGAAAGAATGCCGGGAGCCTCAGTGCCAAGCTCCTGATGATGTTTCAGGGTTTCTGGGGTTTAGGGTTTAGGTTTATAGTGCAGGTTTAATGGGATGAGGATGAGGAGGATGATTTACAAAAGCTGATGTGCCTGACAAAAGCTAATGCAGCCAGTCGTTCCTATTTCCTGTAGGAGAGCCGGTCCGGAGCCCCAGGAAGGAAGCAATCAGCCCGTAGTAGGCATGGGAGAAAGGAGGAGAAGGAGGAGGAGGAGGAGGAGCGGGAGGAAGAGGAGGAGTGGGAGTAGCTGCAGTAGTAGGAGTAAGAGTTGTGGTGGGAGAGAGTAGTAACGAGTCGGAGTTGGAGCAGTGTCAGCGGCTGACTCCATTGCTCCTGAAGAGGCGACGACCGCGACGGCGATCGGGCGATGCAGATGGCCAAGTGGAGCAAGGCTTGCGCTGCTTGTCGACGACACTCTCGGGCCAAGACAGAGACTTCTAAGTTCATGGTTTCAATGATCGGGTCGAGGTTGAACTGGTTGAAGGCGTGGGGGTGCTGTCTGGTCCGACTCCGGTGTTTCCAGGAGCCGCCACGAGTTAGGGAAGATCGTTGGGTGTCCTTGGGTACGGCTGCCTCGGGGGGTCAACAATGTAACCAGCTTTTTCAGAGAACCTCGACCCCGAATCTTTAGTGCCTTCCTGTGTTGCGCCTCACAGCAGCCCTGCCAGAATCACAACTATGGCAGCATGGGCCTCGGCTACGCGAAGGAGTTTTGTGGGGAGTGCGCCTGAACCACAGCCGTTCCATCTCCGTGACGAAGCTGTGAAGCCAGGACTTGGTGGATGCTTTTATAAATGGCATGCCCGAAGTTGAGGCGGCTGCCGGAAGCAACTGTCGAGCTAGCCTTGTGCAGGTCGGGAAGTAAACAACAAGCAAGTACATGAGCACGAAAGTAAGCACGCAATGCAGCAAGTTGGCGGGCACTGTGGCAAGTCTGACTGTTTCTCTGTGAATCCGTCGTTCCAGCTGCCCGGCTAACTTGCCTCCTCTCTGCTCCTCTCCTGTTCTCTCCTAAGCACTCACTCACTCACTCTCTACCGCCGTCCTTTTCTCCACCGTCAGACTGCACCAGTGGGCATCGGATTCGAATCTCAGCCTGGCGCGGTCGCGACCCTCGCAAGTGCTGGGCTCGGCATTGAACGTCTTCCAAAGGATCATCAAGTCTAGAGTCCAGAGCCTTTCACCTTTCGGCGTAGGTGTAGTATTGCCATTTGGTCAGCAAATGCAGGATTGAATGTAACCAGCCGATGAGGTACCATCTGGTTCGGCACGACTCAGCTGCGCTTGGACATGTCGCAGCAGGCGCTGCGTGGTCGCAAGCGGAATCTGTCAACTTCTGCGGCGGGCTGCGGGTGAGACTGAACGCTTTGGCATCATGTCAGATCCCCTACAGATGTGTCACAGTGGTTGTACACCTCCGCTTCCTTACCGTAGTCAAACAGTGCACGTAAATATTTTGATAGTTTGATGCGGGTTTAGGACCTCCTTCGGTCCCGGCACCGCGTCGGAGCGCGCAAGGGTGAGTGCAAGGGCAATCAGTAGTTGAAGGCACCAGGGTTGAGCCGACCCACCTTGTGTAAAGTTAGTTAAGCTCAATAGCCCACTATCGACCCCAAACCGGACATTATGAGGGATGTTTTGTTCATATCAATCCTTGCAAGAGTGTGGGCGAAGCGCAATGCGAATTTCGAGTTAAGGATTGCAATTGCAACCATAATGAAGAACCACCCCCATGTGCGTTATCTACTAGCACATTGCAGGATGTAGACATGTCATTTTTTGGAAACAGTGTTTCATTGGCCACGCCCTTCCTCATTTCAGGGGAAAGTTGACCTGCACCAAGGCACGAGTGGCGCTACGAGAAGGCTGGAGCTGGTGATTGCGGTGCTCTTCAGCTGCTCGGCAATCGCGGTGCCTGCTTTAAGTGCTCCTGGTTTGACCGCACGACTTCTTGTTTTTGTTGTGACATTTCGCTTCGATAACCTTGGGGACTCCCTCAGCTGTATGTCGGCAGTGGTTTTGATCGCGGCACTGTTTTCCAAGCCTTTGCCAAGCTCTTTCCAAGCCCTGGTGTAGAGCTTGATGCGAAACACAACGACCGCCCTGAGCACCCACTTGAAAAGGTGCTTCTTGCAGACGCGAACTAGGAGACCGATTGTCTTATTGCAGAAGTGTTTTGATGAAGCAAGGCACGGCTTCGCCCGGACCTTCTGCGACCTGCACTGCATCCGCGAAGCTGTGAGAAGCTGGGCATATTTACAGAAACTGCACGGAAATGATGGATGAAGCTTGGCCTACTATTCGTGACTTTGCCTCTGTGCCGCCCTTGACGACGCGAAAGGAAAGGGTGATGAGGCCATCCTAAGAGCGGTGGAAGAAGCCGTGGAAGTCATCGGCAAGAATACGCAGATCCTCCTTGAGCACTACGACGCTTTACAGCAATGAAGGATGTTGAGCAGGTCAGTCACATTCGGAATATCGGAAGTCTTACTGTAGAGGGTACCTCAGCAAACTGAAGCAAGCTTCGAAAGGATTCATCTGCAATTCGGTTCCTGCCCGAGTGCTGGCAATGTTCAGACGTTCATGGCTGTCTGCATGTCAGATGTTTTTTTGGCCCGTCCTTTAGAGACTTCAGCTACGGCAGTATCGTGTAGCCTTCCTCAGGTAGGCTTCTGTGTGCGAGCCATAGGCTTTGGCCACTTTCTGCGTCCGAGACGGCTCCCCTGTCAGAGACATGGTGCACCAGTGGAAAGCAATCTTCGAGTGCTACAGTTTTGCATCCCTTCAGAATCCAATATTGGCAACAGCTACAGAGTATTGTAAAAAGGAGCCGAGCCCATATCGTTGCCAACAGCACCCGAAACCCTTTGAAGCAGATATACTCTCAGGTTGGGGGCGAGTCAGGATCACTGGTCCAGGAGGCGGATCCAATGGCTGCCCAAAACCGAAGGCGTGTTTTTATTTGCGGCGTGATCTTGGCCCATGCCAGGGCACTGAGATCCGCCGCGGCCTGGCAGCTCAGCTCGCAGAGCTCATGGCCACGGCCCAGGAGGCGAGGGCAACAGCGAGAAGTGGGGGGAAAAGACGATCTCCGCGTGCCAGGCCGCCCTGCAGCCACGCGCCTCCCAGGCCGCTGAGCGCGCCGTGCGGAGCTTCGCCGGGCGCTGGCGAAGCGTCGAAGGCCCGCAGAGCGAAGAACAGTAGTGACATGTGGGTGACAGCACCTGTGACCGGTGCAGAAGCAGTGCCTGCCTTTGCAGGTGGCAATGCTTCGGAGAGTTTGGCCTCGCTGCGCGCCATGGCCAAGGATACCTCGGAGCTCCACGCGACGGCATCATCCCTAGCTCTCATCTGCTTTTTCGGGGGAGAGACTGCTGCCAGAGGTGTGGCTGCTGCTGGCCCTATTTGAGGTAATGCTGGTGAAAGGCCAGAGGTTTTCCAAAGTTGAGGAGGTGCAGCGGAACGCCCTGGAAACGGCGTCTCGAACGAACGACTTCCTCAAGGCTCTTTCTTAGGATGCGACCAGCTGGCTATCAGTTACAAGATACTAATGTCTCCAAGTATCTTATCCAGAAACACCCGCCCCCTGTCGTGACCTCAGACCGAGCAGGCGCAAGTTCATGAGCTTGGCCTTTACCGCCACACTGCCAGACGGGGCAAGATGGTGCAACGCTGGTTCAAGCAGCACTGGCAGAACAAGTTGCCTGGATAATATGTTTCCCTTGCAGCTCATTGAAGACGTTGCAGTTGTTCGCTCGTTGCGCGGGTGTGCAGTCTGTACTCAGGTTCTCAATGCTCGATGAGTTTCAGGACTTGAGTGTTGCCCAAGCTATGCAGACCTTTGACACCTCTTGGTGGGAGATCCGTCGGGAGCTGGATGCGCATCTCAGCAGAAGGGACCTCTTACTAGAAAAAAGCCACTAAACATGCGGGGGAGGGCCCCCGCAACCCGGAGCGTGACGAGGTATCTTGAGGCGGCGACCGAGCAAGCACGCGTCATGAGCTCTGCCGTGGATGCCCTGAGAGGCCAGAGCTCCGCGATCCGCTAAGCCTAAGTAGCCTAGCTACACGCTTGTCGCGCCTCTCGGTGCTGTAGGAGCAATTGAATACCTGCGATATCCCGGCAAGTCCTGATTTGGGGTCCTTA